CAAAATGAGGTCGTGACCGTCAGATTGACTTAGATTGATTCTGAACCGTTGGACTCATTTATTGATATGAGCTAGTTGGCTAACATTAGCATTTTCCTATAGCTTACTGCTATATTTGAGCCCAACGACTTAGAGTCAATTTAGGTTGATCTGACAATCACGATCTTATTTAATATTTGAATTTTATTTTTTTCTACAAATCCAAATTAGTTGAAATTTTGGGCATCCATTCTTTTCATCAAGACATACCTAATAAAAATATTAAAAGAATAATTTACAAAAAGTGAATTAACCAAAATTCAAATACTAAATGAGTCGTGATTGTCAAATCGCATATGTAGCTGTGAGGTAGTGGTAGGGGTGGGAAAGGGTCGGGTCTGACTGGCCTTGAACCCGACCCATCGAGTCCAAAAGTTGGACCCATACCTGTACCCATCGGCTCTTGAGTCCATCCCATCGGGTCTCGGGTCTGGTTGGGTCCATGGCCGCTATCACTATGAGCTTCTTCTTTCTTTTTTTTGGCCCATATTTTTCTCTCATATACCTATATAATTGGCAACAAGGTCATAATCACCTGCCTTTAAATTTCAAGCCGTCAGATTTGTCATTTAATAGCTAAATATGACTACGAATTCTTATTGTATATAATCTTTAATACATCCAAATGAATAGGGCTTGAAGTATTTTATCTCCAACAGTTTATAGGTACGGGTCGAGTCCAACCGGACCTGAACCCAAACCCGAATATTGTTCGGGTTCAGGTTTTGGACTCAAACCCAACACGCAGGTTCAAATGTTGGACCCATACTATGACCCGTGTCAGGTACACCCTCCGGGTCCCGGGTCGAGTCCGAGCCCAATGCTACCCCTAGCTAGTGGGCTAACCTCAGCTTTTACCTATATAAAAATAGGAGAATCTAATAAAATATAAAAAAATAATTTGTAAAAAACAAATTGACTAAAATACTCTCAAAACGTTTCATGGGTATTTTGATCAATTTATATTTTGTGAATTATTTTTTTAATATTTTTATGAGGTGCGCTTTAATTAGAAGAATAGAGGCCTAAAATTCATGTAATTTAGATTTTTTTAAAAAAAATTAAAATTAAATTACAAAACAATATTGTGACCATCAGATTGGCCTATATTGAGGCGTTGGGCTCATATGTAGCTGTGAGTTAGTGGGCTTACGTCAGCATTTCCTATATATATATATATATATATGCGTGCGGTTTGTATAGAGCCTGGGATTTGAACAATCAAATTAGAGCCTACCTACAAATAGTGTCGAGAACTGTGGTTTCAATACTGGAAATATTTGTGATAGCCTTAAAAAATATTTTTATCTTTACTTATAAAGTTTAAAGCTTCAAAAATAATGTAGATAAACAGATCTATGAAAACTTGAAAATCTTAAAAATTGACGGTCAAAAAATGTGTTAAAAAATACACTATTTTCAAAACTTGAAATTCATTTTTTTCTCATTTTCATGCATCTTGATGTCGAGATGATCAATTTGAGGGTATTTGGGCATCAAAACAACCTCATCTAGTGAAACTTTTGTGGTAGGCTCTAATTTGATTGTTTCGGGCTTTGGCT